CAGCCTCCCAAAGTGCTGGAATTACAGGTATGAGTCACTGTACCAGGCCATATATAATGTTTTAAATAAACATTAACAGTCATCTTTCCCTTCTAAGGGTAGCAAAGTACACTGAAAAGAGAAAGGATTTTGGAATCAGAATTGGGTTCATATTATAGTTCTACTACTTAGGTAACTTTGGTGAAGGCAGTTAAACACTCTGAACGTCAGGTTTCTCATCTGTAATGTGCACTGTTCTATTGAATATAGGCAATTTATGTAAAAGCACTGGCCACAGTAAGCACTGACACAGTAAGCCAAGCAGGGATGGCTATTACAGTAATATTAGTGTGCAGAGTCAAAGACAATGAGGCAATCACCACTGGCTGTTCTAACGGGAAAAATGAAACAAAACAAAATCTGATCTAAAAGCTTGTAATTTCTTCTTTTAATTTTTTATTTTTTGGAAGTAGGGTCTCACTTGTAGCCTACGCTGGAGTGCAGTGGCATGATCTCAGTTGACTGCAACCTCCGCCTCCCACGGTCAAGTGATCCTCCCACCTCAGCCTACCAAGTAGCTGGGACTACAGGCACACACCATCATGCCCGGATAATTTCTGTAATTTTTGTAGAGATGGCATCTCATTGTATTGCCCAGGCTGGCCTCAAACTCCCGGACTCCAGTGATCCTCCCACCATAGCCTCCCAAAGTGCTGGGATTACAGGCATGAACCACTATGCTAGCCTTTTTTTCTAAAAAAAAAAAAAAAAGAGATAAAATAAAGGATGAAGGCAGTTTTCATTCTTGGAATGCTTTCAAGCACAGTATCAAATTCATTTAAAAGGACTGACGCAGTGGCTCACGCCTGTAATCCCAGAACTTTGGGAGGCCAAGGTGCACGGATCACCTGAGGTCAGGCATTCGAGACCAGCCTGGCCAACATGGTGAAACCCCATCCTTACCAAAGATACAAAATTAGCTGGGCATGCATTTCACTTTCCTGCAATTCAGAGATATTGTTCTTTTAACAAATTTAAGGTTTGTGGCAACCTTGTGTCAAGCCAAGTCTACTGGCGCCATTTCTCCAACAGTATGTGCTTACTTCATATCTGTGTCATGTTTTGCAGATTCACACAATATTTCAAACTTATGCATTACTATTTTATTTTATATTTTTTTTGAGACAGGAGTCTTGCTCTGTTGCCCAGGCTGGAGTGCAGTGGCACCACCTCAGCTCACTGCAACCTCCGCCTCCTGGGTTCAAGCAATTCTCCTGCCTCAGCCTCCTGAGTAGCTGAGACAACAGGCACCCACCACCACGCCTGGCTAATTTTTGTATTTTTAGTAGAGACGGGGTTTCACTATATTGGCCAGGCTGGTCTCAAACCCCTGACCTTGTGATCCGCCTGCCTCGGCCTCTCAAAGTGTTGGGATTACAGGCGTGAGCCACGGCGCCTGGCCTTTTTTTTTTTTTTTTTTTTTTAATACTTTAAGTTCTGGGATACATGTGCAGAATGTTCAGGTTTGTTAAATAGGTATACATGTGCCATGGTGGTTTGCTGCACCCATCAACCTGTCATCCAGGTTTTAAGCCCCACATGCATCAGGACAACGCATGCATTGTCCTAATGCTCCACCTCCCCTTGACCCCCAGCCCCCTTATATGCCAGGCCCTGACTTACGCATTCTTACTATATCTATTATGGTAATCTATGATTAGTGATCTTTGATGTTATTTGTTACTACTTTAATTGTTTTGGGGTGCCATGAACTGAGCACACGTAAGATGGCAAATTTAATCGATAAATGTTATGTGTGTTTTGACTGTTCCACCCACCAGCTATTCCGCAATCTCAGACCTCCCTATTCTGAGACAAAATAACACTGGAATTAGGCCAGTTTAACCTTACAATGATCTCCAAGTGTTCAAGTAAAAAGAAGCATTGCATGTCTCTCACTTTAAATCAAAAGTTAGAAAGTATTAAGCCTAGTGAAGAAGGCAAGTTGAAAGTACAGACAGGCTGAAAACTAGGTCTCTGGACCAAATAGTTAGCCAAGCTGTGAATGCAAAGGAAAAGTTATTAAAGGAAATTTAAAGTGCTGCTACAGTGAACACATGAATGATAAGAAAGTAAGAAGGCCTTATTTCTGATATAGAGAAAATAAACATCAAACCAGTCACTATTCCCTTAAGCCAAAGCCTAATCCAGAGCAAGGTTCTAATTCTCTTCAATTCTGTGATGGCTGAGAGAAGCAAGGAAGCTACAAAAGAAAAGTTGAAGCTAGCAGAAGTTGGTTAATGAGGCATAAGGAAAAAAGTCATCTCCATAACATAAAAGTGCAAGATGAAGAAGCATCAGGTGCCAACATAGTGAAACTCTGTCTCTACTAAAAATATTTAAAAATTAGCCTGGTGTGATGGCGCACACCTGTAATCTCAGCTACTCGGGAGGCTGAGGCAGGAGAATCACTTGAACCCAGAAGGCGAAGGTTGCAATGAGCCAAGACTGTGCCACTGTTCTCCAGCCTGGGCAACAGAGTGAGACTGTTTGAAAGAAAAAAAAAGTGATTCATTGTATTTCACTATCACTTTATTGTGGTGATCTGAAATGAAACTCATAGTATCTCTAAGATATGCCTGTACATATCAGATCAATGGGAAAACACATGTTAATCACTGAAAGGTAGAGCTAAGAAAGCTTCTTTTATTTTCTGGTGCCCAAATATAAAATCTTGAAAGATTCCTTTGTATTTTTATTCTTAGGCAACAAGCTAAAAAATATTGGAAATTAGTTAACCCCAAAAGATCACATTGCTTTACGTTAGAAGAAAATTTGTTTTTATATGAATTTTCAGCTGATTAAAGTTGATGATTATATGCTAGCTTCAATAAGTTAAAAATAGATCTTGCTAATCTGCTATTAGTAGGAAGGACTCTCAGTTGTAATTACAGTATTTTGAGCACGTTAATCCTCCTTTAGCTGGTCCATTCTTTGATGAAAGGCACCCATTTTCCAGCTTAAAGTGAATAAGCTAAATAAAGCGTGCTATCTGTGCCTGAACAGAATTCTATCCTTTGGCCTCAATTAGCACTACTCATATTGACCTGTCTTGGGGTGGGAGGCTGGTAACAGCAAAAATGTAAGAAACTATTATTGAATGTACCTACACTGTACAAGCCACTGTGCTAGATGCTTTACATACACTGTCATTTAATCCACAGGTAACTCAGCAGTAGCAATTCTTACAGCTACTTTGCAGAAGAAGGCAATAACTGACAGAGACAAATTTCAGATTCAAGTGTGTTTAAATCCAGGACCCACAATCTTAACATTAAACTATACTTCTTACTAAAATTACAGTAAATAGAAATTATAAAGCTTTGGTTTTTGGAAATCATAAATAACAAAAACTTCCCTTCCTTGTGCAAGCAAGAGAAAAAGAAACTTTTGCTGTCATTACTAAAATGTCAATCCACACGATGATAAAACTGAGCTAAGTGAAGTTTTTTTGTTTGTTTTTTTTAAAGATAGGGTCTTGCTCTATTGCTCAGGCTGGAGTACAGTGGCACAATCTCAGCTCACTGCAACCTCTGCCTCTCAGGCTCAAGCAATCCTCCCACCTCAGCCTCCCGAATAGCTGGGACTAGAGGTATGTGCCACCATGCCCAGCTAAATTTTTAAAATTTTTTGTAGAGACAGGGTCTCACGATATTGCCCAGGATGGTCTCGAATTCCTAGGCTCCAGCCATCCTCCTGCCTCCGTCTCCCAAAGAAGCACTGAACCTGGCCACTAAGTGAAATTTAAAACATAGGAACGTATATCTGAAATAGATGAAAATACCAATAAATTTACAAGTCATTTTCCTATTGCTTATCCTCAAGCTAATAATCTCAAAATTATGCAGCTACAAACAAAGATAATTTTATTTGGTTTCTACTGTTTAATCTCTGAAGAAAACAGATGTAATCTTGGAAGTTGGGGAGATTCAAAGTTCGGGCACAAAAACAAAAAAGTAAAAGTGCACTAAAAAGTATACCCATATTCTGCCAGGCACAGTGGTTCACGCCTATAATCCCAGCACTCTGGGAGGCCAGGGTGGGCAGTCAAGAATTCAAGACCAGCCTGGCCAAAATGGTATAACTCCGTCTCTACTAAAAATATAAAAATTTGCTGGCCGTGGTGGTGTGAGCCTATAATCCCAGCTACTCAGGGAGCTGAGGCAGGAGAATCGTTTGAATCTGGGAGGCAGAGGTTGCAGTGAGCTGAGATTGTTCCACTGTACCCCAGCCTGGGCAATACAGCAAGACTCCTTGTCAAAAAAAAAAAGTATACCCATATTCAAATTATGTAACCTGCCTATATCTTCAATAAATAAAATTTAACTCTATGTCATAGCCATGAAAAAAACGAATCTGAAAATGTAAAACAAAATATTCTACAAAATGTGCTTGGCACAATACTTGCTCTAATAATTTATAGGTCTAAACAAACTATATATTAGTAGAAAATACTTATAAAAAAAGTCAAGATGAAAACTAACATCTCTAGCATAGAATAATCATTATAGTAACTTTTTCCTTCTTATCAATAGTTGTTATTTTTAAGAGACATGACTTACTTTTAAATAACCGTGTTGTTTAAACACATTATAACAGCATGTTAATATTCAATGTTAATAATTCTACAACATTAAGAGTGCTGTCAAGTGTTAGCCAAGCATATTTTATGCAATGATTTTTCTGCTTATTTAAGCCTTTTCCTCACTAATAACAAATATATTGCTCTTAATGGTCACATGAATACTGGTAAGTTTTCAATGTAACCCAGAAAGTTACTTCCTTACTTTGGATACTGAGAAAAGATTCACTTCTATGATTTAAATAGAAAGCAAATTAAACAGTACATAAACATATTGAATTCAAGATGTTGGTCATATATAGATTTATTTCATTTTCTCAGAAAAAATTCTTAAAATATCTAAATGTCGGGATTTAAAAAATGAATTTTGAGCACTCACCGATTGCATGCTTACTCCAACTTGATGAAAAACCATCCTAATTAGGCGCTTAATCCAGCCAAGCATTTATATGGCAAAGTCTCCCCAAATTTGCATTTCAAGTACTTCTTCAGGCATACATAGCAGCACATGGTCCATAAAACACACTGAAAATTTAAAATGCAAATACTAAAATGAAATCATTATTATTTAGAATTTGTACTGTCTACATGTCTCACAGAGCAAGCCTAAAACATTTTTAAAACTTCATGTGCAGCCTGACCAACATGGAGAAACCCCATCTCTACTAAAAATACAAAATTAGCCGGGCGTGGCGGCGCATGCCTGTAATCCCAGCTACTCGGGAGGCTGAAGCAGGAGAATCGCTTGAACCCAGGAGGTGGAGGTTGCCGTGAGCCAAGATCGTGCCATTGTACTCCAGCCTGGGTGACAGAGCAAGACTCCATCTCAAAAAAAAAAAAAAAAAAAAAAAAAAAAAACTTCATGTGGAATTTAAGAGAAAAAAAGATTTGCTTGTGATCAGCTTGCTTAAAGTAACTGTAACAGTATAAGGTGTTTTGTTTTCTTTTGTTAGTATTTTTTTCAGTCAGTGTTCTTAGCTGGAAGCAACAAAAACCTAGTTTGGCTAATTCAAGTAAAAAATACATTTATGAAAAGATATCTGGGGGATAACAATCTTCAGAGAACCCAATTTATAGGCTACACAACCAAGGACGTTCAAAACTGTAGCAGACTTGGCCCTGGGAAAACACCACTGCATTTGTTACTACCACCACAGACAGGGTCCATGCAGTTCCTCCTTTTCCATGTCCCCAGCTCCAAAGATGCTGTCTGTACTGGTGTATTTGCTAGACCAAGTCCGCAGCTCACGTGTCACAGTAAAAGGAAGGCTGACAAAGCAAGCACCTGGCTATAGTAACAAGCAGGTTAAGCTTCCCACCAAAAATCATAAAGGAAGGAATTCGAGAAATACAAAACAGAAATTCAGATGCTGAAAGACCAAAACCAATGAATAAATCTTTTAATATTCACTAGCACCATAACCCCTGCCATTCATTGTCTGCCCTACTCCCCATCAATACACTGTATATCTGACAGAATTACAATGTTAACTTGTATGGTATAGACGACTTTACTGGAAGTGCTGGTCTCTAACAAGATAAGGGAGTTTGCATCAGAATACGAATCAATACACTGCTCTCTCATTGTAAAAATCTTGCTTAAGGCCAGGTGTGGTGGTTCACATCTGCAATCCCAGCACTTTGGGACGCCAAGGGAGGCGGATTGCCTGAGGTCAGGAGTTTGAGACCATCCTGGCCAACATGATGAAACCCCAACTCTATTAAAAACACAAAAATTAGCTGGGCGTGGTGGCAGGAACCTGTAATCCCAGTTACTTGGGAGGCTGGGGCAGGAGAATCCCTTGAACCCAGGAGGCAGAGGTTGCAAATGGCACCACTGCACTCCAACCTGGGCAACACAGCAAGACTCCATCTTAAAAAAAAAAAAAAAAAAGAAAAAAGAGAAAGAAAAAAAAGAAAATCTTCCTTAAAGGCTGGGTGCGGTGGCTCATGCCTGTAATCCCAGCATTTTGGGAGGCTGAGGTGGGCGGATCACTTGAGGTCAGGAGTTTGAGACCAGCCTGGCCAACATAGTAAAATCCCATCTCTATTAAAAGTACAAAAAAAAAAAAAAAAATTAGCTGGGTGTGGTGGAGCATGCGTGTAATCCCAGCTACTCAGAAGGCTGAGGCAGGCGAGAGGTGGAGGTTGCAGTGAGCTGAGATCACGCCACTACACTCTAGCCTGGGTGACAGAGCAAGACTCCATCTCAAAAAAAAAAAAAAAGAAAAAAAGAAAATCTTGCTTAAAAAATCAGCTAAACAAAACAGTATGCTGTATGCTATAGTTGACTTACATAGTGATGTAAGCCCTTTATCTCATCATGACCAGAAACAGTTTGTGGTCTACATTTTGAGAATAACTTTATAGATAACACAGAGAATAGGAAGAAAAGTAAAGATGCCACAAATGTGCAAAGTGCTGGGTGAAAATAAACTGAAAAAGCTGAATGCTGATGAAAGGAGGAGGATGTGCATCATGGGTAAAAATGAACAGCAGTGGGGGAAGACAGGATGGAGTATAAAAGGGTGTGAGTTCATATGAGAATCTGAGCTAAAAGCCTATATTAAGAAAAAGGGAAAAAGAGCCGGGCGCGGTGGCTCACGCCTGTAATCCCAGCACTTTGGGAGGCCGAGGCGGGCGGATCACAAGGTCAGGAGATCGAGACCACGGTGAAACCCCGTCTCTACTAAAAATACAAAAAATTAGCCGGGCGCGGTTGTGGGCGCCTGTAGTCCCAGCTACTCGGGAGGCTGAGGCAGGAGAATGGCGTGAACCCGGGAGGCGGAGCTTGCAGTGAGCCGAGATCGCGCCACTGCACTCCAGCCTGGGCGACAGAGCGAGACTCCGTCTCAAAAAAAAAAAAAAAGAAAGAAAAAGGGAAAAAGAAACAGAAATCCTATTAGACAAACCTAGAACCTAGGTATAAGAGTTTGACTCAATATGGTAGAACAGTTATTTTAGAAAATCTGCTGAATTCAGCCGGGTGTAGTGGCTCATGCCTGTGATTCCAACACTTTGGAGGCCAAGGCAGGAAGATCGCCTGAGGTTAGGAGTTCAAGACCAGCCTGGCCAACATGGTGAAACCCCATCTCTACTAAAAATACAAAAATTAGCCAGGCGTGGTGGCATACACCTATAATCCCAGCTACTTAGGAGGCTGAGGCAGGAAAATCGCTTGAACCCAGAATGCAGAGGTTGCAGTGAGCTGAGATGGTGCCACTGAACTCCAGCCTGGGCGACAAGAGCATAACTCCATCTAAAAAAAAGAGAAAAACTGAAAAAAGAAGAAAGTTTGCTGAATTCACCAAAGTTTAAATTAAGTATTATTTTTTAATCCTTTGAAAAGCTGAAAAAAAAAAAGTATACATATTTTGCTCTATAGAAAATTTTAACATGATGGAAAGTTCTAACTTTCCCTTCCTTTTTTTTTTTTTTTTTTAATTTGAGACTGAGTTTCGCTCTTGTCGCCCAGGCTGGAGTACAATGGTGCGATCTTGGCTCACTGCAACCTTCGCCTCCCGGATTCAAGCAAATCTCCTGCGTCAGCCTCCCAAGTGGCTGGGAGTATAGGCATGCACCACCATGCCCGGGTAATTTTGTATTTTAGTAGAGACAGGGTTTCACCATATTGGTCAGTCTGGTCTTAATCTCCTGACCTCACCTCAGACGATCCACCACCTCAGCCTCCCAGAGTGCTGGGATTAAGGTGTGAGCCACCGCACCCGGCCAGAAAGTTCTAACTTTCTAATATGTTTTTCACTTACCTTTATAATTCTATCAGACATACAGTATGTATATCTGGGTATGGGAAGTGGGGCACAGAGTGAATGGGAGGGATTATGGTGCCAGGGAGTGTAAAATAACTTTTGATATATATTTGAATTAGTGAAATAATGCTTTTAGTCTCCTTTATTTATTGGCATTCCAAATGAGAACCCTTAGCTAAAATGTCCAAACACCACTAAATTATATTAATAACGAGCTAACTTCACAGAACATTTGTTATGTACCCGGGATTATCAGGAACATTTGTATGCTTATTAGGTCATTACATATAAAGTCTCAATTATCACAAACCACCTTATTAAGGTAGGTATTAAATTATCTTCTATTTGTAGAGGGGCAAACTAAAGCACAGTTAGTGTAACTTGAGTAAGGGTCACATGTTTATAAGTGGCAAAGTTAGGACTCAAACTAGATGTTTCCATAAGTCTGTGCTTTTATCCACTATAACCATGCAACTAAACAAAAAAGGAGTAGTTTGAAAAACCTATTCGAAATTTTAAGTGTTTTGTTTTTGTTTTTGTTTTTGAGACAGAGTCTCACTCCATCGCCCAGGCTGGACTGCAGTGGCATGATCTCAGCTCACTGCAACCTCTGCATCCCAGGTTCAAGTGATTCTCATGCCTCAGCCTCCTGAGTAGCTGGGATTACAGGCGTGCACCACCACATCCAGCTAATTATTGTATTTTCAGTAGAGACAGGGTTTCCCCATATTGGCCAGGCTGGTCTCGAACTCCTGACCTCAGGTGATCCATCCACCTTGGCCTCCCAAAGTGCTGGGATTACAGGCCTGAGGCACTGTGCCCAGCCGGGTGTTTTCTATTTTAATTTTTTCATATTGTGATTACATTCAACTTTCAACACATTTATATTCTCAAGCTAATGACATAAAATATTGAAGTATGAAGGCTTTGGACTTGAGTCTGTACCCTTGTTGTGCCACCTACTAAATGGTAAGTATTAACATGTTATCTCCAGATAGGAACAGTACTCACAGAGTTGTAGGAATTAATAGAGATAATACATTAGCCATTTCAGTAAAAATACTAAAAAAGTAGGTTAATACTAACAGGAATGGAAAAGAATAGATGGATTCAGGATGCCAATAAAAGTAAGAATTAACCTAACTTGGTAAAGTAGCTGGCTAAAGCTGGGTGTGACGTTGCATGCCTGAAGTCCCAGCTACTCAGGAAGCTGAGGGAGGAGGGTCCCTTGAACTTAGGAGTTAGAGTTCAGCCTGGTCAACAAAGCAAGATCCCATCTCTTTTTAAAACAACAACAACAAATGTAAAGTGGTTGGCTAGCGCAATAAGGAAGAAGAGGAAAATCAAATTACTCCAAGGTTTTGATTGGAGATGACAGAAATTATGGCTATCAGATAAGGAAATGCTGGAGAGTAAAGCTCTTCAATGAAGGTGAGTCTAAGATGACAGAAGTATATCTAGATGAAACTATGCAGTAGAGTGCTAAGCACTGGCAGGAATATATATTTATTGATTACTATAAAAGGTCTGTGACTATATCTTTGATCAGGCAGATATATTTTAATGTTACCAGGATCTATTATTAGTTTTATAAATGAATCCTCTGAGAGCCAATGGTGAATAAGAAGAACAAAGAACCAAAAATGAGGTCAAAGCTGGAAATGACTGGCAAAAAGCAGGCAAGGAGAAAGGGTGGTTTTATGTGGGGTTTGAAAACCTATCATTAAAGCCCAGGCGTGGTGGCTCATGCCTGTA